TATGAAAATTTAAGTGGGAATAGAGGTTCATCCTTATAATTCAGTGACTCAGAAGGCTGAGACAGGAGGGTCACAAGTTCAAGACCAGCCTCAGCAATTTAGTGATACCCTGTTGCAAAATAAAAATTAAAAGAACCGGGGACATAGCTCAGTGGTAAAGCACTACTGGGTTCAATCCCTTGTACCAAAAAGAAAATTTGACACTCAACAAATGTATTATTTCAACTCAATAAGAAAAGAAGGGGCTAGTTTGGGGAATTCCTTTGGCAGTGGTAGGTATCAAACTCAAGGCCTCATGTATGCTAAGCAAATACTTTACCAGTAAACTACATCTGCAGCCCAAGAAAGGGTTAGTTAGCACAACTACCAAGTCACAAAGAAAGTAACAGTAAACCTCATCTCACATAATACAAATGGTGTAAACTGCATAAAGAAAGAAGAGTCAAGTGAAAACTAAAATAAAGAAAGGATAGCCTAAGAAAATGTGGGGTGTGCACAATCTAAGAGATAAGTCATAACTTCTTAACTTTAAGTTGATCTTATTTAAATGCTCTTCTGTTGTTGTTGTTGTTTTCCCCACCGTGAATTCTTGGATGGTTTGGGATACTTATTCTTCTATGACAATTTTAAATCACATTTTTTTTTCTTTTTAAAGACAGATATATTAGAACATAAATAATTGAAAACCACTTACCTGGAAAATATGCCAGTTATAAAATCAACTGATTAAAAAAAAAAAAAACATCATTCAAAAAAAAAATTGCCATGTCAAAGCCAAGCGTTTGTGATTCTGACACACAAAGAGCTCTTACAAAGAAACAGGAATGAGACCAATAACCAGCATGTGCTGCCTGCCTGTCAGTTGCTTTATTTTTCCATCGTTCTATCTCTAAGGGAGGTTTGCTCATCTTTGGACAGAACTTTTAGAGTTCTAAAATACTATTATGTTATAATTCCATATCTGTTAAAGCCAAGCAAGCGATGACTTTGCTAGTGACTAATTCAAAAATGGTTATTTTCCTGCCAGTGAGAGAATTAAATATTTTTCTCTCTAGTGCCGTTAAAACTGAAAGAAGAATGTTCTTATTCATTTAGTTTTTTTTCCTTCCTTTCTCTCTGTGAGAAATTGCTTAAAAGTTTCCATGATGAGCTAAGTTGCAGGGTTTTTTTTTATTCCTTTTTTTTTTTAAACAGGACTCAATATTATTGTGCTTTGTTGAGTAATTCTCCCATCTGAATTTCAGACTTTTTAAGGTGGACTATTTTCTTAGTTGCAGTAAGTCCACTTTCCCCCTCTTCTTTTATTTAGTAAAGTTATGCCCCGTTGAAAAGAAAAAAATAATGACACAGAGTTGGCAACAGAGGAGGAAAATAGAACCTCACTATGTGTCTAAGACTGTCTGCTCACTTACTTGTTACACCCATAAGAGAACTTGCTATTTTAACTCCAACTCTTCTTTTCTTCCTTGAAATATAAATCCAGACTGAAGATAACATTTGCAGCATCCAAGTCTCTGTTCAAATCCAAATCTAGAATCTACAGAAATTCTAGACAGCATCTGTGATGATGAGGGCCAGAGAAAAATTAGTTGTCCTCAGAAAGAATGTGCTGGGAGAAAATACAGGATGGAGTCAAAGAGCATCAGATCTAGAGTACACGGCGGGCTTCCAAAAAGCTTCCGAGCTTTTCTCCAAGTTTCTTCCCTCTTAGTCTCGGTTTCTGAAAACTAGTATCTATCTCACAGGTTTATCCTGGAGATTAGATCAGATAATGTGTATAATTTAGCCAAGATCCTGGTACATAGTATTATCTCAATAAATGCTCGTTGTTATTATGTTCTTTATATAAAGACATGAGCACTAGATTAGCGCAGTGGCTATATTTCCGGGCATCTCTCTTCTGGGAAGTCATTTTGCCTACACTGTACCATGTGGAATCTAAGCCAGCAGAGATTTTCAAGCTGTTTCTCAGAGCCCAGGGATTCCACAGAGTGGCTTCATGGGTTGTAGAGAATCCATGTGAGACTGGGATGATGGGTGAGATTGTGGGCCTCCACTCCACTTTGATGTTTTTTAGGTTTTGTTTTGTTTTATATAAAAGGGACCTGCCTAAAATTCCACTTCAAAACCCTCTAATCCTTTAAATCTGCAAGGCTGTTACAATTCTATTATTTTGTGGGCATTCTAGCTTTTTTAAATGACTTTTACCAACCTTTTAGTAATCTTTTTTCATTACCCATCCTTAGACACCTGATCCCTCCCGAGAGACAGAAAGCATTTGTGAAGCCACATCTATTTCATAAGGGATTACTTTGGTATTCTACCTTCTGAAAGGCACTTGCATTTGAAAAGAGTCTAAACAAGAAGAGGAAAAATATAGTTTGCATTTCCAGTCCCAGAAAACCTGGCACTACAGGGAAAACTTTGCCGGGTGAACTGGGAGCGTGGTCTTTTGCAAAACTGCTAAAATGACAACTCTAGCCACTGCTTATATGGCCTGGTAACAGTGATTGGCATTTGTGAAGAGATTCTGGCTGACTTACACTACAATTTCATCTCCATGTTCTCAGTCTCTTAACACAAGTCTCCTGTAGTTGGGATACTACTTTTTTCCCATGTGCATTTTCAAGCCAAAGACAAGGAGGCCCCAGGTGGCTCAGTGACGTGCCTCAGTTGGCACACTTAGGCCCTGACTCAAGTGTTGGGCTCTTTCCCCAGGACCACGCCGCTGCCTCCACCCATTCGGGAAGCCAGGCCTGCCGATTACTCAAGGCACAGACTTTGTAACACTCCCTCTGCAGAAGTGGTACAAGCAGGACCGCTGGTTTTTCTGATGCTTCCTCCATAGGAATAAAGGAATGGCTGTACCAGACCTGTCAACTCTCAATGAGCTCTTTGTGCAAGTAAATTCCAGAGGTTTTATGGACGATAATTGCAGAGAAGGCTGCTTTTCTTCCCCAGAAGTTATGGTCAAGAGGTTGCTGTTTCAGCAGCGCCTGGCATTGCTCCAAAAATCTCTTATCCATATGCACTATGAAGGCAGACTCGTGGATCAAATCAGAGAAAAGGAGATAGGAAAAGCTCCAGGCAAACCAAGAATCCCTTTTTTAAAATTAATTTTTCTCTCCCTGTCAAAATCCTTGGTGACACAACATTTTAAAGTTCACCAAAGTAAACATGAAAGTTATGAATTACCGGAGGAAAATTACCTTTTCTATTTTATTTGCATTGAGCAAAGTTGCCTGGTTTTTACTTATACATCCCAGCAAGACAAACAGGGATCTCCCTCTCTCTGCTTCCTGACCATGGAACAGCATTCTTCTGCCACACCCTTCTGCCATGATGCTCTACTTCACCTTGGACCCAGAGCAAGGGGATTGGCTGACCATGGACTAAAATTGTAAGCCCAAAATAAACCTTTCCCCTTCTAAGAAAAGACAAGCTGCTATGAGGACATATGTGTAATAATCTCTTAATTTGTGTTGAATGAATGAATATGTTCTTTAAAGATGGGGGATAAGAAATATGATAACAGAAGCAACAGAAACTTGGTAGCTTCTTCTGGGATTGCCCTTCATTATGACTTGTCCTGAAAATACAAACACATAACACTGAAGTTAATTGCTTACTGCACACAGATCATCGCTTTGACCATGGACTATCTAAGAAATTTGGAGGTGTGGTTGAAGGTAAGTCTTTCAGTTAGAAATTTGAAATATAATAGTTTAACGCTGGTGCACACAGCAGACACAGTAAGGCAAGAGTTTTGAGATAGGAGCATTGCGAAATCTTGGAAAGAAAACCGTGATTTGATACTATTGGATGATGTTCATTCAAATGGGTTCTTCCAAGGGTATTTGCAACTCTTATCCTAAGCAAAAAATTACCTGAAATGGAAAAGTCATGGTGATGAGGGTGGTGGAATAGTAACACCATATGAGGGGAGGTAGACAAATATACAGGCAGATTCATCTAGATGAATGGTGGTTGAGATATTGTGACTTTAGACAAATTTTAAAGGCATAATTAATAAGATGACTCTGAGGGCTTAGAATGGAGTTACTGGGTGAATGATGATGTCATCTACTGAGGGGGGAGACTTGGAGGCAATCAAGTATGAAATTATGAGATTTGTTTTAGATGGGATATAGATCAGTGGTAGAGCATATGCATACCATGCAGAAGGCTCTGAATTCAACCCCCATACCAATAAAAATGTTTTATTGCTCTGTTATTATTAAATTTCACATGTCTATTAAACATCTCATAGAAGATATCAGGTTGGCAGTTGGATATTATGAATATGTGCAAATGGGACAGATAAGATCTCATTTGGGATTCATCATCATATGGATGGTATTCAAAGTCGTGGAATTTGGTGAAATCATCTAAGGAATGACTGTTAAAAAATAATAATAATAAAAAATTTTAAAAGGCTGATTATCAAACCCTGGGGCTGGTGATGAACTGGAGCTGGCCCCAGTCTGCTAGTGAGAGCTGATTGGGCACATCTCTTCCCAACTCCCCATTCAGTGACATCATGCTAATAGCTTGAATTCAGCTACAGTGGAAATATTTGCACCATGAAAATGAGAAAACACTGTATATCAAGATGTTCTTGGTGTCCGGGCGTGGGTCGGGGTGCGCGTCCGGGTCCCGCGGCGGCTGAGGCGGCTGAGGCGGCTGCAGGAGGAGCCGAAGGGTCAGCCATATTTGATGGTTTTGTGGCTTTGCTCGGGAGTTCTCGGGAGTAATTTAATGCCGAAGGTCACTGCCTAGTGGAAATAATATAGTACGTCATTAATATGGTGCCAAAAGATTGGGTTCTCGATCCTAGCGAGGAGGGAGGGAGGCGGCCGCAGAGCGCAGTGTTACTATCCCACCAGTAACTTGGGCTTTGCCGGGGGCGGGGGCCAGAGGAGGAGGAGAGGATGATGTCTGGATCCTGAGAATTGATCTCTGTTGGATTAGCTGCCTGCTGCTTCCCAGCAGCAGTGAGGATGGATTCTGACGACAATGGCAGCCTGTCAACTACAGAGTCCCAGAACTCTCCATCCCAGCACAGGAGAAGTTCCTGCTCCAGACATGAAGACTGGAAGCCTTCAGAGGTGTTTAGGACAGACCTGATCACCGCCATGAAGTTGCATGACTCCTACCAGCTGAAGCTGGACGAGTACTAGGTGTTGGCAGATCCCTGGAGACGGAATGGGAGAAAGGGGACCAGGTGCCTGTGAGCCCCGGGACCATCCCGCAGCCTGTGGCCAGGGTTGTGTCCGAAGAGAAATCCCTCATGTTCATCAGGCCCCAGAAGTACATAGTGTCCTCGGGCTCTGAGCCTCCTGACTTGGGCGACGTGGACTTCCCGTCGCTGGCCGACAGCGTGTGTCCATACGACCTGAACGACATGGATGCCGCGTGGCTGGAGCTGACCAATGAGGAGTTCAAGGAGACGGGAATATGCCCGAACTGGATGAGTTCACCCTGGAAAGGGTCCTGGAGGAATCTGAGCAGCGATGCTATGACAATATGAATCATGCCATGGAGACCGAGGAAGGCCTAGGGATCGAGTATGAGGAAGACGTGGTCTGTGACGTCTGCCAGTCCCCCCATGGTGAGGACGGCAACGAGATGGTGCTCTGCGACAAGTGCGACATCTGTGTGCACCAGGCCTGTTATGGAATCCTCAGGGTGCCAGAGGGCAGTTGGCTATGTCGGACCTGTGCCCTGGGAGTCCAGCCAAAATGTTTGCTGTGTCCCAAGAAGGGTGGTGCTATGAAGCCCACCCACAGCGGAACCAAGAGGGTCCATGTCAGCTGTGCCCTGTGGATCCCTGAGGTGAGCATTGGCAGCCCCGAGAAGATGGAGCCCGTCACAAAGGTGTCTCACATCCCCAGCAGCCAGTGGGCGCTCGGGTGCAGCCTCTGCAACAAGAAGTTGGGGGCCTCCATACAGTGCTCCGTGAAGAACTGCCGCACGGCCTTCCACTTGACCTGTGCTTTTGACCGGGGCCTGGAAATGAAGACTATCTTGGCAGAGAATGATGAAGTCAAGTTCAAGTCCTACTGCCCAAAGCACGCCTCCCACCGGAAGTCTGAGGAGAGCCTTGG